ATATTATAATTTGTAAATTATAATGAAAACTGGAACCTGTCAAGGTTGGATGTAGGGCTGAAAGTTCCTGAAAGTTCTTAAAACAAAAGACATGCCTTTAGGAATTATTACAGAATTTTTTAATCTTGTTGCAAAACTTGGTATTGATTCGAAGTAGCGATGTCGAGACCGAGCAAACGTCTGGTTCCTCATGGAATCATGGGGATGCTGCTCGGCCCCACGGTGGACGCTAAAATGTTTCGGTTGAATTGATCCGAGGGTTGGTCGTCCTTCTTTGCTCTACTCTCTTTTCTTTTGATCTTTAATCCTCCGCGAGAACGCGATCCACTCCAACGGCTTGTTGACCTGTAGAAGACAGTCTGACGCTCAAGTCAGATATGTTTAATAAAAAAGTCTATATTTTATTAAGATAGAAAATGAGCCTTGTACCTGGACATCAGTTGTCTAAAGGCTTGTGACACCCACGTCCATTGACTAAGCATTAGTGCAAATTTTAAGTAATCAAACTCAATAATTAATCATTAATGTCGTATATGTGTAGAGTGTAAGACAAACTAACCTATTAGTATCTGTTTAATGACAACCAATTACTATCGATATACTTCATATAGTACATATGGGCATAATCAAATAAAGAACAGAACATTAGATATAAATAATTGCTTCGTGTAACAAAAGTATAACTAGTTGTTGTGATGGGATAAATTTTTTTGCAGAAATTTTATTGGAAATATTAGAAGGGATTCTTTAGTTTTTTATTTCTCTCTTTTTCTGCAAGTTATCTTCTACGAATAAGGTTGTAAATGAGTTAGAGCACTCCAAATATTTTTATATTAAATATATTTATTTTAATATAAATAATAATAATTTCATATATAAATTATTTACAAAAAAGTTAAACTACATAAATAGAAAGGAAACAAGGTTGCTAACAAGTTTAGTTACAGGGGTTACCAAATTTAATATTAGATTAAGGAAAAAAAAGGAAAATATGAAAAATAAGAATCAAACTTTTAAATATTATAGTAAAATTAAGATGGAAATAAAAATGTTACACGTGGAAAAGAAAATTTTTAATAACTTTAATTTAAAATATATAAAAGTTGTTCTTATTTTATTGTATTATTGATCAAATTTTAAGACACGGAAGTTAAATTAACAACAAAGTCAACATCTTAATTTCTTTTTCGCAAATATCATATATATTCACAATGCCAAAAATCTCATTAATATATAATTGGTAAAGAGTCATCACATAATCACATAATCATATAATTGATAACATTGCAACACGGGTCCTACATGCATGTGATTATTTAAAGTAGCAATGTCTACTTCTAGAGATGAGGGTCAATAATAATAATAATAACAATTGATAAGGAATATAAAATGCACACATGTGAATAATTACAATTAATAAATAGGAATTCCATCTCTACTTTTAGAAGTAGAATCAATAAAATTATATTTAGTCTTCTTCAAGGAAGAAAAAATAATACCACATGTATAAATTCAAATAAAACAGAAAAGTAGAATCAATAAGTATAAATTATATTTTAACAAAGTGGAAATAAAGATTAATTATAGAAAGAGAGATATTTTAAAGAATATATTAGAGTCTAAATATGGACTATGAAAAAACCTAGATCAAATAAAAAGTGGACAAAAACGGTATCATGATATAGCAATTTGCATAAAATATATGCGTGTGTATATTTATGTCTTCATTTATTTTTTAATATTAGATTTTTAATTTATTTTTGTATTTAAAATAAATATTTTAATTAGAATATGTTATAATTGAATTTATTAAGTATTAAATAAAAAAATGTTAAAAATAATTTCTTTTGTTGAATAAATGTTTTTTGATATTTTAAGGTGTGTTTGAACTCATAGAAGAAGTATAAAAATAAATTGATTAAAATTTCATGACACTTTAAATATAAATCTAAAAATAATAAATAATTAAATCACACAAAGTCAACTTAAGAAAAACATGAAAAAGTGAATAAATTTGATTAAGAAAGAAAGAAATGGGTAAGAAAAAATAAATCTTACGACTTTTTCTATCTTCTCTAAAAAACTTTGATAATTGAAACATGTTTACGATAAAAAATAAATTTAGGAAAATATATTTTTATATATTTTATTTGATATTTTAAATAATTACTTTATTTAACTGTGTTTATAAATATCAAAAAGTAATATTTTATAATATTTTTTAATATAATAAATATTTTTTTAAATATTTTTAAATCTCCATAATAATAAAATATATCTTAAAGATATTAAATTATTTAGAAAATAATTAACAAAAATTACATACTTTTTTGCTTCTAAATCATGTGACATGATAATTAAGCATATTGTATAATATTATATTAGTCGAAAAGAAATAAATCAAATGCAATATCATCTTAATAATTTACATATATTCGACCAAGAACGAATGCTATTTATACTGTATGATCTAGAGATACTGTGTAATACATTTATACTATATACTTTTTATCAGCAATAAATGTTATAATTTAAACTCAAAATTACTTATTGAGTTATATAGACATTCAATCTCAAATTCATGAAAGAAAAAAGGCAATTCAATAATTACTTAATTGCACTTTTCTATAATTTTTTGTCCATGAACATTTTGTTATAATTGAGCTGTGGCGAGATGACAAAAATATTCAAAATATGGAGTTATAAAAGAAAAAGACAATGAAAAAAAAAATAGTCTTTTATTTAAACAAGATTTTGAATTTAAAACTAAATTACTCTTAAAAGAAAAAGGGTTAAATATGTTTTTAGTCCCTAAACTATTGGTCGTTTCTGGTTTTCNATGAACTAACAACTCTTTATAATTAAATTCAACTGTACAAATCATTTATTCAAACTCAATTGAACTTAAATCGAACTGTTTTTCTTCGCTTTATCTGATTTGAACTGATAAGTTCTCTGAATTACTTCAAACTGGTTTTGAAAAAAATAAAATAAAGATAGAGTTAAGTACATCAATAAAAAAAATGAATTTAAAATTATTTAGTTATCTTAAGGTTAACTCAGTTCAACCACTATAAGTTTTAGTTCAGATTAGTAGCTTATTTAAATTCAACTGTACAAATCATTTATTCAAACTCAATTGAACTTGAACAGGATAAACTAAATCGAACTGTTTTTTCTTATCTTTATCTGATTTGAAAAAAATAAAGTAGAGTTAAGTACATCTATAAAATTTTCTTAATGTTTATTATTTTTCACAATAATCCACGCCATACACAATCATTGCTTAAAAACATGAATTTAATATCTTAAGGTTAACTTAGTTCAACCACACTATAAGTTTTAGTTCATATTAGTAGCTTATTTAAACAAATGAGGTGGTATATTAACTTTTATATTTCTAGTTTTGATTTTTTTAATTCTGTACTAATTTAATTGTGTGCATGTGTTTGACGCTAAAAAAATAATGGTGTGATATTGATAGATGGTTGAATTCAAGCCTGGGTTTCGTTCACTATTTTGGTGGCTATAGAATTATATTATCCAGTTGCGTTACGTCCTTTGGATGATAGTGCCGGCTCAATATGTGGGATATTTTATCTTAGAATAAAATAGAACATTAATGGCCTGAGTCAAAGTTAAAAGTACTGTGACGAGTTCTTGCTTATATGATATAATTAATAAACATGCATGCAGCAAGAATTAAGAAAATAAAGGTAGAAAAACAAGAAAGTGACATATATTGTAAGTAGAAAGACAAGTAAATAAAAAGATGCACACAAGAAAAAAGAAATGAGGCGAAAAGGAAAGATAAGATAAAATAGAAACAAGATAAATTCATATCAACACATTTACAATGTATTCACCTTTCTTCCGGTTTGTGTACTAATATAAATAAATTTGAACAAAATGTCAAAAAAAATTTCGAAATTAAGAATTTAGGGAAGTTGTGGGGTCTAGAGGACTTCAAACGAAGAAGTCGTGTCCCTTGCACGACTTCACTCTTACACATGAGTCAGAAGTAAAGTCGTATACCTCTAAAATGATATCAGGCCATTGTAATCGATTACCAGACCTTGTATTTGATCACAAAAGGCTGAACTCGTGTGTAATAGGTAAAATCTATCTGGTGGTAATCGATTACCAGAAGGTTTTAGTGTTAAAACAAAGTATTTTTAGTTTTATGGACTATGTTTGTTAATTATTAGTAATTAATAGAGTTTATATTTAAATTGTTACCACTTAAATGGTTACTATTTAAATTAACATAGGCTTGTAATCAATTACCAGAGAGATTTTGCCTATTACACAGAAGTTCAGCCTTTTGTAATCGATTACAAGACCTGATAATCGATTACCAAAGCCTGAAATCGTTTTAGAAGTGCACGACTTCACCTCTAATTCATGTGTCAGGTTGAAGTCGTGCAGGGACATGACTTCTTCATTTGAAGTCATCTACACCCCCCACTATTTGTCTAGATCCGTAATTTTAAAATTTTTTGCATACATCCGTAATTTTTTGTTCAAATTTACCTTTAAAGGTACAAAAACCCCTTTCTTCCACTTCTTTTTACTCAATTTGTTTTTCTTAATATCTTTCATTGTCGAAACAAAATATAAAAGAGAAAAATATGATTGAAAACAATATGAAATAGTTTAAGAAATAAAATGGTTGTAACACTCAGAACAATAAACAAAAAAAAAAGTAAGAAAATTTTAAAAATGTAAAAACTAAGGAAAAAAAAAGCATTGATGTAGATTTTGAAAAAATATTGTAATACGTAAGTTTAATGATTAAAAAGACATAAAAAAATTGTAAAGGACTAAGTATTAAAAATATGGACAATTTAATCTTAACAGGATTTAAAAAAAATTATAAAAAATTTAAACGTTGTTGTTTATAATAATAATAAAAAACTGACAGGCATGAAAAATATTAAAAAAAGGATATTCTACCATGATTAATAATATGTAGTTAGTAGTATAGTAGTTTAAGAAATTTAAAATGTAAGAATTAAACTTACTTGATTAGTGAAACCGACTCCAAATCCAAGTAAAACACGACCCAGAATGAGCATAACGATATTCTCTGCACCTGCATTAAGGGAACCACCGAGAAGAAACACAGCACCACCTAATAAGATGGTGTTTCTTCGACCTATTGCTGTTGTTACTCGACTAGCTACCAGAGACGATACTAACCCCGCAAGATACAGAGAAGAGGTGAACAATGTCAAAACTTGACTGTCATAAACACAGTACATGTTCACTTCACTGCCACCAATCTTTCTTAATATGTCTGGGAAGAATTTTTCCAGAAACGGCACCATTGTTGTCACTCCTCCTGAAATTTTTTAACATTTTTATTCCAAGGAAATAATCACCTTAGACATTAAATGTTATATCAATATTTTATTATTAATTTATGTTAAAATTTTAATATATTGATTAGAAATAAAATCAATTAAAAATATAGAAATGAATATAAACTTTATTTTACAAATTAAATTTAAAATCTATTTCTTAACGTTTATACAAACCTCACTTCCTATAACTGTTATAAAATATTTTAGTGATTAAAAAGGTTAACTTTTACATTTATAATATAAAAAAATAATATAGTGTATAAAAAATTATTAGATGTTATAATAATAATATCTTTATTTTCCCTTTCTAATAAAATATTTCGTCAAAACCCATCCAAATACATAGACATAAGAGTATTGAAGTGATGATATGCCATGCTAATAAAACATCTCGTGGGCCCACTGTGACGTGTGCAAAGTTATTGTTAACTGTATACAAATGTCGTTGTCCATAAAAGTCTAAACATTTTTAGACACCACAATTCAACTTATACATTTTCTTAGTATCTTGTCATATGATGTAAGATTTTATTATTTTTCAACGTATACAATTAAAGGACCTTGAAATACTTTAAGATTCAAAGCATGTGCAATTCACAAAAGAAGGTTTTTCGTATTTGTGAGGCCAGTGACGTCTGCTTTTTCTATCTATGATTGAAGTTTCTCCTTTCAAAGTCTTTTTTGTGGCCCGTACATTTTAAGATTAAATTTAAATATTTTTAAAATTCCTTCTTTTAATCTTTTCTATTATTACTATATTTGTGTTCTAAGATGCTAAATATTTTTAGTTTTTCTACAAAAAATTAATAGTAATTAAAAAACATTATCGTAGGAAAATACATCATTATTTTTTTAACATTAATATTAAAGGGTGAAATTAGTTGATGTGTCATAAATAAGCCATAATTCGATTATTTTGTTTAAAAACTGATATTCCGTGTTTGGAAAACGCAATTTTTCTTCCTATATTTTGAATCAATAACGTCCCTGCAATTGTGCGATATTAGTCTCCAGCAAAAAATAACTGGAATAGCTAATTCTCTTTGAATTGAGGGATAATTTCATTTAAATTTATTATTGATTCAAAAATTAAATTTGAATTTACCGTATCGTAAGTGTTAATTAAATAACAAAACAAGTAAATGATAAAGAAAACTTCTAAAATAAAGCAAAGTTGGAGTAATAATTCTTAGAGATATTGAGCCAGTATAACTATTCTTAAACTCTATGATGATAATAATAATTAAGAGAGTAACATCATATCTCCTATTTAGATTTTTTTGATTTTCAACCATATGTTTGAAATCATTGAGAATCTAAAGCAGACTATGTAAAAGCAAACACATATCATTTGATTTTCTGATGAGAAAGTTGTAAGAAGAAAAAAACCTGAAACTCCGAGGTCATATCCAAAAAGGAGTCCACTGGATGCAGCAACGATGCAGGTGATGACGATTGAGAGCGTGATCTTGGAAGGGAAGCCATTGGTAATTGGTGATGAATCCACAGGCAACACCCCACCCGCCATGTTGATGAACCTCTTTATCTCTTTCTCAGCTTTTTTCAATTCTGGTTCTTTCTTTGCCCTCTGTGTACTGGCCAATGCCGTGGCCACTAATTTATAGGCCAAAGAGTATGGAAGTGTGAACGTTGTCTTGTCTGCTACAAGTGGAAGAGAGCGCTACTGCATTTTTTTTTCTATTTAAATTTTGTCACTATATGTGTTGATTATCTTCTCTATTATAAACGCCAACGTTAATTCAAAATGTTTATTTGTCATAAATTTATAGTTACATAAAGTAAATATTTACAATGTGCAGCACAGTTAGAACCAGGGTGTGTATGTAGATAGATAAATAAAAAGAGTGATTCCTCTAAAAATTATTGGTTCTTATGAAAACCAAATATATTTAATCACATTTAAATTATACAAATCTAAAAAAATGCATATGATTTTTATATTGTAGTGATTCTATCATAACTAACTTTATAATCTTAATTATTTATGTGTGATTAGATGGTGTCACTAGTGCAGTAAGGGAAAACGACAACAGTTATTTTCGTCTATAGGCAGCAGTTTCGCAACCGAGACATATACACGCGAGGCAAAAAAGGGTAGGTTTCTTGTCTCGGTTGACAACCGAGGCCAAAAGCGGTCGGATTATGCCTCAGTTCTTAGGTAACCGAGGCAGTAGGTGTTCTTTTTTTAGACTTTAGGCTTCGGTTTGTACTGAACCGAATAGTTCTCATCCTCGCCGAACGATGTTCGTCCTCGCCGAACGGTGCTCGCCCTCGCTGAACGGTTCTCGATCTCGCAGAGCCCTAGTTGCGTCATCTCCTCCATTGACGCATCAACCATGGAACTCTCGCTTCTCACGAAAGCGCCTCTTCTAGCAGGTTCGCGAACCCAAGTGCGACCTCACCATTGCCACTACCTCGTGCCATCGCTACCGTGAAGCATCACCACCGCTGTCACACTACAAAGCTTACTTCAGGACGTTGCCGCCGTAAGAATCGCGGAACTCAACGCGAGAACTTGCAACCACCACATCTTCATCCGGGACACCATCAAACCTGCAAACCACAAGAACCAGAAATCTGTAGAAGGACCACGAGCTTAAATCGCAAACCCACGAGTTTTGCGNTATAATTTATATTATTCAAAAATATACTTTAAAATAATTATAAAAGCCACAGGATTATGATAGTTATCTGAAGCAAATTAATATAAGCAGAATATTATAAAATTCGTTCATATTATTATTATTAAATGAAATGTATTTTAACAGACAAGTTAAGTTAAACGCAACAATTATTAAGTGTTTCTGTTAGTTTCACCTTTCAAGATAAAGACAGAAATTATAAAGTGAGGTGTAATGTAACGTAGACTTTGATTTACAAACATCAATGTCAATTGCACGAAAAAAATGATTCTTTTTTATCTTCTAGATTTGGATTTGGTTTCTTTTGAGTCTGTCAAATTTAAAAAGTGATTATAATCATCTTTCTATACAAAAATAAAATTATTAAAATCAACTGTTGAGGATTTCTTACTAGACTTAATTGAATTTAATGTTGATTAATCATAGTAATTTTTTCACTTTAATATTGCTTACTTTCGTACTACTATTATAGTCTTGTACTAGTAGACTCCAATACATTTGGGTTTTAACATAATTCTTCTTAAATGTATGCAAAAATCACACAAACAAAAACCAAATAAAAATTTCATAGAAATAGAAATTTAATTTATCCTTTAATTACTTCTAATCACTGATTGTGTATTAAGAAAACCACGGTTTTACACCCAACCAACCTGTGGTATCATTTGTTATCAATTAATTTATAAGATATGTAAAAAAAATATATTTTAACACAAATAAATTGTTTACATTAATTTTACATTTTTTAATATATTTTTTAAAAAATTTAAAATTTTATTTTTTTTATAATCATTTTATTCTTAAAATATGTGTATCAGCCGTTGATAAAAAAAAAAAAAGAAGCAAAACGAGCACTTCTAACGATTTGGATCATAAGAAACTATTCCCGCGGTTTAGGATCAAATATATACGGTAAAGTAATGCATCATAACTTTTATAGTTATGACATAAACCATGCTCATAAAAATACTACAAAATCTTTAGTCAAGTAAACACAATTTAAAGTAGTTGAAGCAGTAAAGAAAAATAGATAACTTGTCTGACTGGATCAGTGACATACAAATAGTTATAACTAGTCAATTACTTATATGATCCTAATAGACATTTTCTACATATACAGAAAACATTGTGTCTTAGGAAGGCAATGTCCACAATTTTTAATTTTTAACTGTTTATTATGAACAACAGTCCTGAAGTGAAATTTAGCTCATGGAAGATTTTGTTGAGTAACTTCCTTTACAAATCGGCGCCAGAACCAGTGTTTTCCCCATATGGTGTACATCGATTCCAAAGGAATTCCCTTTGTTTCTGGCACGAAAAGTATAACAAAGATTGTCATAACTATAATCCAACCCGCATAAAACACGAAGGAAGCGAACTTAAAGTGGCACAGCATTGTCAAGAATGTCTGGGACAATATAAATATGGTAATAAACTGCACCGCCACAGCTATGCTTTGTCCAGTGGTTCTGATTTTTAACGGGAAAATCTCACTCGGAATTAGCCACGTGAGAGGTCCCCATGACCACCCAAAACCAGCAGTGTAGAAACAAAGCAGCACCAACACTCCAATTGCGTTGCCTTTTGATATGTCCTTTGTACCATGAACACCAGTTACCACTGCCAGCATAACTGACACCGCAATCTTCATGCCACAAAAATTGTTACTATTAATAATATAGGGAGACATTGGACAGATATATAACATAAGGAAATTACTTAATTTTGCTCACCTGACAAACAAGCATGAGAATGCCACCAGATATGAACAAGAACCTTCGACCAAAGCGATCAACAACAGCAGTTGAGACGAGGAGAGAGGCAAGGTTGACTGCTCCGAGTATAATGGCAGAAAGTAAAGCTGCATCATGTCCCAAACCCACTGATTGAAACAGGTTAGGAGCATAGAATGCCACAACGTTAATCCCTGTCATTTGCTGAAAAAATGGAATAGCAATTGCCATGACCAAATGGGGTCGATGTTTCCTCTCAAATATGGTTTTGAAGGGCTCCTTGTCTACAGATTTTGCAATCTGTGACCACTTAATGAGTTCGTCCAATTCAGGTTCAACATCAAAGGAGGATCCTCTGGCCTTCCGCAAGGCTCTTCTGGCTTCTTCTATTTTGCCACGTTCAACCAAGCTACTGGGAGTGTCAGTTATAAGCAAGGCACCGATTGTCATAACTGCTGCAGGCGCCACAGCGATGCCAAGCGAAACTCGCCACCCCCATGTGTGCTTCGCAGTTGCATAGTTTATGCAGCCAGCGACCAATGATCCAACTCCTAAAAAGAATTGGAAGCCTGTGTTGAATGCTCCTCTCCATTTGGGTGGAGCAATTTCTGAAAGGTACAACGGTGCTGCCTGTTTTTCACAATCATTGCAACATCCCAACGTTATACTAGTGTTGTTCAAAAATATGAACTAACAACTCTTTATAATTAAATTCAACTGTACAAATCATTTATTCAAACTCAATTGAACTTAAATCGAACTGTTTTTCTTCGCTTTATCTGATTTGAACTGATAAGTTCTCTGAATTACTTCAAACTGGTTTTGAAAAAAATAAAATAAAGATAGAGTTAAGTACATCAATAAAAAAAATGAATTTAAAATTATTTAGTTATCTTAAGGTTAACTCAGTTCAACCACTATAAGTTTTAGTTCAGATTAGTAGCTTATTTAAATTCAACTGTACAAATCATTTATTCAAACTCAATTGAACTTGAACAGGATAAACTAAATCGAACTGTTTTTTCTTATCTTTATCTGATTTGAAAAAAATAAAGTAGAGTTAAGTACATCTATAAAATTTTCTTAATGTTTATTATTTTTCACAATAATCCACGCCATACACAATCATTGCTTAAAAACATGAATTTAATATCTTAAGGTTAACTTAGTTCAACCACACTATAAGTTTTAGTTCATATTAGTAGCTTATTTAAACAAATGAGGTGGTATATTAACTTTTATATTTCTAGTTTTGATTTTTTTAATTCTGTACTAATTTAATTGTGTGCATGTGTTTGACGCTAAAAAAATAATGGTGTGATATTGATAGATGGTTGAATTCAAGCCTGGGTTTCGTTCACTATTTTGGTGGCTATAGAATTATATTATCCAGTTGCGTTACGTCCTTTGGATGATAGTGCCGGCTCAATATGTGGGATATTTTATCTTAGAATAAAATAGAACATTAATGGCCTGAGTCAAAGTTAAAAGTACTGTGACGAGTTCTTGCTTATATGATATAATTAATAAACATGCATGCAGCAAGAATTAAGAAAATAAAGGTAGAAAAACAAGAAAGTGACATATATTGTAAGTAGAAAGACAAGTAAATAAAAAGATGCACACAAGAAAAAAGAAATGAGGCGAAAAGGAAAGATAAGATAAAATAGAAACAAGATAAATTCATATCAACACATTTACAATGTATTCACCTTTCTTCCGGTTTGTGTACTAATATAAATAAATTTGAACAAAATGTCAAAAAAAATTTCGAAATTAAGAATTTAGGGAAGTTGTGGGGTCTAGAGGACTTCAAACGAAGAAGTCGTGTCCCTTGCACGACTTCACTCTTACACATGAGTCAGAAGTAAAGTCGTATACCTCTAAAATGATATCAGGCCATTGTAATCGATTACCAGACCTTGTATTTGATCACAAAAGGCTGAACTCGTGTGTAATAGGTAAAATCTATCTGGTGGTAATCGATTACCAGAAGGTTTTAGTGTTAAAACAAAGTATTTTTAGTTTTATGGACTATGTTTGTTAATTATTAGTAATTAATAGAGTTTATATTTAAATTGTTACCACTTAAATGGTTACTATTTAAATTAACATAGGCTTGTAATCAATTACCAGAGAGATTTTGCCTATTACACAGAAGTTCAGCCTTTTGTAATCGATTACAACNACATCTTCATCCGGGACACCATCAAACCTGCAAACCACAAGAACCAGAAATCTGTAGAAGGACCACGAGCTTAAATCGCAAACCCACGAGTTTTGCATTGCCATGCGTATTTTCCCCTCTCTGCAATACCAACCTAGAACCAATGAGAAAGGGGGAAGAAGATAAATGGCGAGAGAAGAGATTGGAAATAGAATCAAACCTCCTTTGCCGCGAATTAGAACGGAGAAAACAAGAGGAAGAAGAACCCTAGGTTGGAGAGAAGAACTTCTTTGGAGGCGCGAAAGGGAAGAGGAAGAACACTGTGCGAGAAAATGCATTCGCGTTTAGTTTACGCAGGGGCTATTACCTCGGTTAAGTAAAAGACCGAGGCCGAACGGTACTATTGCCTCTGTCCCTAGACAACCGAGACATATTAGTGGACAAAATTAACTTGGAACGTTCGGTTACTGTCTCAGTTCATAGCAGAAACGAAACTGAACGGTCTTATTGCCTCTGTCCTAAACAAACGAGGCATATTAGTGGACAAAATTAACTTGGAACGTTCGGTTACTGCCTCGGTTCATAGCAGAACCGGTTCATAGCAGAACCGAAACCGAACGTTATTTACATACATTATTTCTTCAATCATATATAGATGATTAAGATTTAATGTTGTATATATTAAATAAAGTTATTTTCTATTTCGACAAAGTCAAAATATAAGGATGTGTTTCGATGTTAATTATTCAAGTTAAGATATCGATATATTTGTTTGCTCTACCTTTCTTATTTCATAAATGAAAACGATAAATCTTGGGTAAAATATTAATTGTTAACCAAGTTCTTTCTTTATTCTTACTCTTATTCTATTTATCTTATTTTTAAAAATTACCTACAAAACCTTAAAAAGAACACAGACAAAATTTATAGGAGAGAGGAAGATAACAAAATTATTTGGATGAGTTATGATTTTATGTGAGTCAAAGAAAGAAGGAGAGTTGTGTATTAAAATTTGGAACACTTCAACCAGGCTTTCTATCAAGTAAATGATGGAAAATGCTGATAAGTATAAGCTATGATATACATGTTAAATTTAATTTACATAGGAAGAGAGGTCCTTTTGATATCATTTCCATATTTAGTGTAAATTTAATTTTAATATTTGTTTAAACAAATTAGGAAAAAGTTTAAAAACATTATCGCATCATGTATAATTTATTTATTAATATATAATTATGTTTTCGAAAACATGTATTTATTATAAATTTTAAAATTATAAAATACGGAAACTTGCCTTATAGATTATAATGTTAAATGACTACTAATTTTAAAATTAATATTTTTGTTTCTTATATTCATTAAATATATCATCCTTGATTTTATACTGAGTTTAGGAAAAACAAAATATACTTTTTAAATTAGAAAATAATAAAAACATGTTCAACAATTTTTTTTTAAGTTCAATAAGGGGGAAAAAACTACACTTTTACTACAACAATCTTCTTATGTTAGTTTTTATTTTAAATTCTATTAATCGTTGAACATATGTTTTTCTCTTTACTAATAGTTACATGTTTTCATTAAAAGAAAAATTAAAGTAAATATGCATTAATATTAAATAAATATTAAATAATTTAAATTTACAAAGTAAAAAATAAAGGGTATAAGAGTTGGTTTTAAAACTAATTATACTAATAAACACATATTCAATTACTTTAATCACTAATAATATTCAAACAAAATTAAAATTATAATTTTTATCATACTAAAAAGAAACAATGTCAATAGTTCTTACATTAAATTAACTATTTATTTTTACAATATTTATAAAATTTATTTAACTAAATCTATAAATACGAACATCAATTTTAGCCTTTATATTTATTTTAGTAATTGTTGACTTTTTATATATCCACAAGTGGGGGGACACAGATATAGAAGGTGATATAATTAATTGTTCTAGCACTTGTTGGCCAGTTAGANTATATAATTATGTTTTCGAAAACATGTATTTATTATAAATTTTAAAATTATAAAATACGGAAACTTGCCTTATAGATTATAATGTTAAATGACTACTAATTTTAAAATTAATATTTTTGTTTCTTATATTCATTAAATATATCATCCTTGATTTTATACTGAGTTTAGGAAAAACAAAATATACTTTTTAAATTAGAAAATAATAAAAACATGTTCAACAATTTTTTTTTAAGTTCAATAAGGGGGAAAAAACTACACTTTTACTACAACAATCTTCTTATGTTAGTTTTTATTTTAAATTCTATTAATCGTTGAACATATGTTTTTCTCTTTACTAATAGTTACATGTTTTCATTAAAAGAAAAATTAAAGTAAATATGCATTAATATTAAATAAATATTAAATAATTTAAATTTACAAAGTAAAAAATAAAGGGTATAAGAGTTGGTTTTAAAACTAATTATACTAATAAACACATATTCAATTACTTTAATCACTAATAATATTCAAACAAAATTAAAATTATAATTTTTATCATACTAAAAAGAAACAATGTCAATAGTTCTTACATTAAATTAACTATTTATTTTTACAATATTTATAAAATTTATTTAACTAAATCTATAAATACGAACATCAATTTTAGCCTTTATATTTATTTTAGTAATTGTTGACTTTTTATATATCCACAAGTGGGGGGACACAGATATAGAAGGTGATATAATTAATTGTTCTAGCACTTGTTGGCCAGTTAGATTGGTTCTTTATGAGGATACATTACTAATAGTCTTCTACTGTTATAAAAGTCTTCTATAGGATATATACACGAGTGCTTAATAATTTCAGCAACAATCTAGGGATGCCATTCCAGCTTTAGTGCGCCTTCTAATCACAATTTCAAATTAATAAATTACTCGTCAAACCAAAGTACTCAACCCTAAGCAAGCTGCTCAAGTCCATATTTTTATAATTTATATAAAACATGTTTGAATATATAAAAAAATACTAGTGTTTTTTAAAAATTTCACTGGAAAATGAAGTAAAAATACTATAAAAACTCATAATAAACTTTATAATTAATTGGTTTAAAATGAAACCTTTGCAAATTATTTAATTTCCTTATTAAAATATAAACTAAATTACGTTACATGTTGAAGTTTTATTGCTTGAAAACCATGAATGTTTGGTTTGAAGAAAGCGAACTCAATTATCCTACAGCTTTAAGATTACAGCTGGCTTAAGGCTCTGTAAGTTGGCTTAGGACTTAAGATGTGCCAATTTTCTATATCAACGGTATGCGCCAAATAAGATTCACCTTGTTTTCTGAAAAAATAAAAAATAAACATATTGATGGTAAAAGTTATCTTTCGACGTAAATATTTCAGGACAATTGACAACTGTTAGTGTGTTAATCAACCGTGATTTAATTACATTTTTCAAAATCGAGGTTGCTCTGAGATGGCAAAAGTA